TCATTTGCTATGTTTAGGTAATTATGATGATGCGACATTAACATCAACAAAACACTAAATAGAACTTTGTTATTGTACATACTTTGATGTTATATAGAAAAAAAAATAGTAATTGGTATTTATTTTATTTTAATATATTATATAATATATTTATTAAAAAATTATTATTTTTAATTTTAAATTAAAAATAAATAAAATTAAGGTGTAAAATTTAAAAATTAATTGAATTAATTGTATTTATATTATATTTCAATAATTAAATTGAGATAGGTATTAAAAATATATTAAATTAAGTATATAAAAATTTATATACAAAAAAATTACTTCTTAATTATTTTTCAAAGTATATTCTTCATGTAAACCCTTTTTTTTTTTAAACAAATATATCCTTTTTCGATCCTAAATTATAATCAATTTATTTCAGGAGTACCAATATCGCTAGCAGTTAGTGATCAAAGTTTGCTGCTTGCGAGAGGTAAGTAATCAGTGTTTTAAAACCGCAATTGGCTATCCATTTGTTTTTAGTACTAGATATACTTCAACCAGCAAGTCAAATACGTTAATTGAAAAGATTGACTTTTTAGTATTTGTGATAGAGCTGTTATCGAGTTGACTCGAGTTCAGTATATAGGTATTTGACTCGAACTCATTTTAAAACTTTAAACTCTAGAGTTGAAATTAAGCACTCGTTTTAAATTCGTAAATATTCAAATGAATTCGAGGATGGTTGCAAACTTGAGCGAACAGGTATTTTACCTTAAATTTAAGTTTTTTTTTTTAATTTTAAATTATTTCAATAATTAATTATTTATTGTTAAAATTTTCTACATGTTTAAGAAATATTGTAGTATAAAAGTTTAAATAAGAGTATTATATTAAGTTTGCCAGTAAAAAAAAATCATAAACTTGTTTTCTATAATCAATAAATTAATTATATATATTCACAAATTTTAAAAATTGACATAGAATAATTTACATGAATAAAAAACTAAATAATAATTTTATTTTAAAGTTAGTTTTATAATTTAGTTATTATATTATCTGTATAGTAATAAAATATTAAAAAAATAATAGATGAAAAAAAGAAAAAAAATATAGTATAAAAAACCTGAATTGGCTAAATTTAACCGATTTTTATCAATTCTCACGAGTTTTGACCGAATTTTAACTGTAGGCGATTTGGTGTGTCAACCCAAACAATTTTAAGAATGGTTATTAGTTGAAACTATCAAAGTCGTCAGTTCTGTTCGGTTTTTAAAACCAAGCATTCACTTAAGTATTTCATGTGTTTCAAAATTAAGTTATTTGATTTTTTTATGTAATTTTAAGTAATATTTTCTTATAATGAGTTTTCTTTATCTTGTGCACTTAAAGTACAGCTTAAATGTATATTAATTACATATTTTTTATTAATTGTTATAAAAAATTAAAAATTAATTTTAATTTTATTAATTGTTTAATCGAAATTGTACACATAACATTTATGTTGAAAATAAAGTTAAATTTTGTGATTCTCTATAAAAATTAATAAAAAATATGCAATTAATGCACTCTTAATATGTATCATTAGAGTAGAAGTTAGATAAATCATTTTATAATATACAAATAATATTTAAGATTTTATAGTTGACAAAAAAAATTAAGATTTTGTATTTTTTCATATAGTTTTTGTATTTTTTTTATATACTATTAAAAGCATTGCCTTAATTCCATAAGAAAAAAACCATTAAAAAATTTAAAAGATATATTTTGAAACATGAAATAGTATTTTTCTTTTTTCCTTTATTCTTTAATTTTCCTTTTTGGGTACAGCCTTTTTTTTTCTTATTGAGCTTGTGATATAAATTGATGTACAAGATTTAAACATATTTTTTTATTCGCAAATAAAGAATATATAAATCTTTTGCTATCAGAACTAATTATATGATCAAAAGGCCATGGATGTGCACTTCGTAACTGATTAAGCTCATCTTTTTGTTATATTTTGAGTTGGTCAAAGCTCATTTCTGTTTCTGCAATTTTATAGGAACCATTTTTTAAGTCTTTGAACTGAAAACATATCTTTTTAATCTCTAAATATTAATTTTTCAGTTCCTTTTTAATCTATCCATTAAGTTTTTACATAGGTGTCTTGTATTAAAAATTGAACTTTATTTTCTCTTAAAATTAAAGAAAATGATCGAGAAACAATTTTTTATGTAATTTTTTTATACAACTTTATATATCATTTCATAATTATTTTTTTACACTATTAGAATTTGTGATATTATAAATATTTACTCATTTAATAATACATAAAAATTATATAAAAAATTGTCAGCATATCATTACCCTAAAATTAATTAGGTGAAAATGTCAAGTTGTATAAATTTATATCATGTAAATTTCAGGTTCTAAAAACTGATAATGTGAACCAAATCATAAGTTAATAAATTGGTCCGGCACAATAATATTGGAAAATATTGACAATCCAAACAAAACCCATCCTATATCTTATTCATAGACATGAGTGCTCTATCAAAGAGAACTGCAAATATAGGCCCCATCGGGAGAACTTAGATTGATTCTCGTGGTTCTCTTTTCCATCTTAAATAGGTGCTTAAAATTTCATCTCATATTTAATATTTTAAAAAAATACCACATTATCAATTTTTTATCACTTACAATTTTCATATTGTTTATGTACAAAACAGAAAGAAAAGAGATGGTCCGTCAAACACGGCACATCATAAAAAATTTAATAGAGACCAAAAGGGAGACAAAAAAAGTAATTTTGAGGGATCATAAAGAAAAATTATCAGTTAGAGAACTAAAAAAGACCGCCGTACAAAAGTTTTGGCCAAATATGGGGTTTTAAACTTTTGAGTTAAAGGTAATATTTTTGGGCAATAAATTATTGCAATTATGAAAAAACGTATATATTTTTTTCTAAATTTTGAATAATAACTAATTCATTGAAGTTTTCATTATTTTGGTCTTATTGCAGTTATCCTATTTGTTTTGTTCTTCTTGTTTTCAATGCCTCTACTAAGCTATGGTAAGCAACAACATTTACAATAAGCCTCTTTCTCTCTTATTATTATTATTATTATTATTTAAATTTCCTCCATTTTTTTGCCATATCTTGATTATTCTTCGTAGCAAATAAAACAGATATAAGGGCTTTCTTTTTGTTTTTTTTGCTATTCTCAGCAATCAAAATATATAATCTGAAGTTGATGGATGAGTATGCCCTTGAGGTTATACGTTTCATATGTAAGAAATTATCAAAGTTAGATGATGAGAACCAATTTGTGCAAAGTGGAGCAGTAGAAGCAACCTTTCAGGCTATAAAGAATGGCATCCCTGAGATTGCAATTGAATTAATTCCAAAAGCTGATGATGCAAAAGCTGATAATTCTAAAAATCATATATTTGCAAATATATTGAGCGGGACAGATCCTGAAGATTCAAGGAACATGTTTGCATCTGCTATAGCACATCGTCAGGAGAAAGTGGCACGCTTTCTTCATGAATTTTGTGCAAGCGAGGAAACAAATATGATTACTATCATCGATAAAGATGGGAACAATATATTACATGTAGCAGCACAATTAGCTCCTCTTTCTCAACTGGATCACATCTCTGGTGCACCTTTGCAGTTGCAAAGTGAACTACGCTGGTTCAAGGTAATTTCATATTTTAACTTACTTTGCTATTTCATATTAATTAAAATAGGTTAAAATATAAACTTAGTCCCTCAACTTTTAGATTTGTATTAAAATTGTTCTTCGACTTTAAAAACTATCAAAATTATCTTTAAAATATGATGTGCAAATAAAAATATATCATGATAACAAAATATCGTTATTTGATTTTATATGTCATTAATATTTTAAAAAAGAATTGATTTTGTAATAAAATAATGAATCACGTGACATTTCTTGATATAAAAATTAAAATTCAAGGATAATTTTAAAGTTAAAAGATAATTTATGTACAAATCTAAAAGTTGAGGGACCAAATTGATAAAAAAATGTGTACATAAAGATATCAACTTTTGCTCTTTTTCTTACTCAAGGATATTCATTTTATCAATTTTAAATAATAGTGTCAACTTTTAATTTTTTATTTAAAAATATCTACTTTCAATTTTGGTGATGCTAATGTAACAAATAAACGTTTTAATTAAAATATTAAAAATTAATATTTTTATTTAGACATTTTTTCTAAATTGAAATTTTAACTATTAAAATAATTTTTCACTTAATATTTGCAACAAATGCAGTCAGTGAAGGGCATTGTTCCCCGGTTCTACCACAAACAGAAAAATAAAGATGGCGAAACTCCTACCCAAGTGTTTCTTAGAGAACACAGGAATTTGCTAAAAGAAGCCGAAGAATGGATGAAAAAAGCGGCAGAAGCTTGTACAGTCGTCGGTGCTCTTATTATTACAGTAATGTTTGCTGCAGCTTTTACTGTTCCTGGTGGAAACAATCAAGAGACAGGCTTCCCCGTATTTTTGAACACGTCTTCTAGTACAGCATCTGTTACTGTGGCACCGTTCATGGTATTTACAGTATCAGATTCAATTTCTCTTTTTGCTGCATCTAGTTCAGTCCTAATGTTTATGGGGATTCTCACTTCTCGTTATGCTTGTCAAGATTTCCATATATCTTTACCCATGAAGTTGATGATTGGCCTTTCTGCGCTCTTCATCTCTATTGCAGCAATGATGGCAGCATTTTGTGCTACTCTTCTCATGGTGCTACACGAAAAAACAGGGACAGTCATTTCCATAATATTTCTTGCCACTATTCCTGTCACTTTGTTTATATTGCTGCAATCACCTCTTCTTGTTGAGATTTATACCTCAACTTTTCGCCCAGACATCTTTTATAGGAGAAAGTACCTGAAAAGCGAAATGAGATTTTGCTTGAGCTTAAATAGGAGATGGTGGTTCAGAGCGAGGAAAGGAAGGATGGTTATCATGCTGTGTGCTTTGTTTTTACTTTATTTAATTTCATTTGCTTGGTTTGCAATTGAACTTTAGGTTTTAACTTATTTTGTTTTGTATGCTATTATTAGGACGATCAGTGCTTCAATTAATTAGATGACTATATTTTATAGACAAAAATTTGTAATGAATTTAAGTGCCTGTCTTACTTTTTATGGTTGAAGTTCAACGGATCAAGCTTTAAATATTTATATATGTTCCTAAAATATCCTAAGAGAGTGTAACATGATATAGTTGTGGAGATCAAAGCCATTACACTGATGGGAAGTGCTATAAGCTATACACTGTAGACATACTAAATTTTTATTTTTTGGCTATGAATTGTGGAGGACTAACAAACCTGGTTGGCTGGCAGCTGTTTCCTAAGGCAGACAAACAACACTTTTAGGGGCATTGCATACCAATCAGGCCTTAATAGGGTACCCAAGTTTGATTAACTCTTCGCTCAGTACCATTTTCCCTTGCTTGTCTCCCCTTTACCACTCTTCTAGTTTGCTTTTAATTCAGCTGAAACTATTTTGTTCCTTTATTTTCCCTAACTGCCAGTATCTAGAACCTCTGAACTTTCTGCTAATGCTGTGAAGTAGAGAAAAACAAAGTTGGAATTAATAATGAAATGAATCGAATTTCAGACATAGAAAAGAAAATTAGAACAAATTAAGATATCTTCCATTAAATTATAATAGGAGCGCCAGGGTAACACCTTAATCATCATATCAGGGGAACCAAGTAACTTGTCAAATTCCATAAATCCTCCTTAAATCTGTTCAATCAAATCCTCACCATCAACAATGTTTGCTCTCACATTTTTTGCTTCCTCACATTTTCGCCTATAAGGTATCGTTTAGACAAAATAAATAAATTAATGAACAGGCAAAAATTCATCTAGATGCATAAGGTGAAAGAGAATAGCAACTATCTGCATAAACTAGCAAATCCCCACATACCTAAATGATTAAATATTCACTATGAAACAAACAAGTATCTTACAAATTTACTTATTGCTAGTAATAAATATTCACCATGAGTATCATACCTAAAGTCATTCCTTTTTGATATAATTCATGATTATTGTTAGTAATTCCCCACATAGTAGAATCAAAAGAATCAAAAGGTAATTAAAAATTCTAGTCAAACAAACCAAATAAGATAAATCAGCAACTTATGAAGCATCAAAGTGGAGAAACTACCTTGAGCAAAAAAAACCACGTTAACAGTTTGCCTAGTTCCCTTGGGCAAAATCACCTATAAGAAAAATCATAGGTAAAGAAGTTTATAAGATCATGATAACAAAGTCTCCTACCATTAAGTGTAATCAAATCGAAACTTCCCTCGAGAACAGAAAATGAGCTTAACCAAATCTCAAATACAAATTTTGCTTAATGTTAATATCAATTAAAACCCAATTAACATGGACCAATCTAAAGTTGTAACAAAAATGAAATTTAATTGAACCAAGAAAAATCTCATTTGCCATTACACGTTATCACTCAATCTCAATCCCCTCCGGAATTCACAGAATAGTGAGAGAAAGAGCAAGAAATCCAAAGTTGAAAATCACCATCCCTTAATCTTATCAAAATCAGAAAATAGTTTATATAGAATCACACAAACCAAACACCATGCTTGGTACTGTTTAGAAAATTATTTGAAAGTAAACAAGAAAAGTGTAATAGAGAAGCAAACCTTCAAAAGGTTTTGACCTATTGACCATCATTAGAACCTAAAACTGAGACTTTGACCTTCCTTCACATCTTCACCCATGAAGGTAGGAAACAAAGGCAAGGAAATTAGGGGGAAAAAATATTTCCACGTCACAGTCAAAGCAAGCTAAAAAAACAAATACCAGGAGTTAGAAAAAACTTTGTAGCTTCTGTCAACTAGCTGTTGTTTTCAAACAAATATCTCTGCTTCTCCCTTTTGGTCACTTTCAGTTGTTTTCTTACTTTTTCCTCTCAATTGCTTTGCGATTCCCATCTCTAGAAATATTTGTTTCTCCATCTACAGATGAATCCATGAAAAAAAAAAACATAAATCAAAGACGCAATAGAAACGAAATTAAAAGAAAAAAAAAAAAAAACAAAAATACAAGATTTAATGGAAACAAATTGACAAAAGAGTGAATCTAGGGTTTTCATGGCTAGAAATGTTTTCCATTATGTATTCTTGGTTGCCAATAGAGTGAATGAGAAACTTAATTTGAATCTAGGGTAGAAAATCAAGATGAAGAGGGCCAATTTTGGGGCTGAAGTGAGGAGCGAGGTGGAAAAAAATTGAGAGCATTCGCAAAATTGGAGAAGGAATTTTGAGATGAGCCAAAAACAAAGAGCCGTGCGTTCTTCAAATAACTTTTAGCCCCTGTTTGGATAGATGGAGTTGGAGGGGGAGTGGGGGTAGAGTGAGGGGTTGAAGTCTCCCTTATTTTGTTTTTATTTTTTTTTTCATTAATGGAGAGGGAGAAGGAAGAAAGGTGATAAAACTCTCTCCATTCCTTAGTTTTTCATTTTTTTAAATTGAAAGAATTCG